TTTTATTTATTTATTTGACAGAGAGAGAGATAGAGCACAAGTAGGCAGAGTGGCAGGCAGAGGGAGAGGGAGAAGCAGGCTTCCCGCTGAGCAGGGAGCCGGATGCGGGGCTCGATCCCAGGACCCCGGGATCATGACCTGAGCCGAAGGCAGACGCTTAACCGACTGAGCCACCCAGGCGCCCCATGAGTGAGGTTTAAATCAGGTGGTCAGGTGGCAGATGTCTTACCTTAGAAGTCACACGGCCACCTCTTGCCATCCTGAGCCAGACTGAGAAAACAACAGAATGGGGGTGTGGAGGAAAGCGAATTTCAGATTGGCCAGCCCTGAGAACCAGACCGAGAGGGACCTGGGGCCATCAAAGGCAGTCTGAGGGCAGAGCGACTCACCTGACGGGCACTGCCCGACCTCTTCTGGAGCAAGGACGCATCAGCACCCTGGAAGGGAGAGAGCCGCCATGAGGGTGTCCTTGTCCAAAGTCCTTTGGGTCCTGCCAGACTCACGGGGCTCCAGCAGCCTGCTGCCTAGGCTCTGCCCTCCTGTGGGAGCACCAGCACCCACGCACCCCACCACACCCCTCTCCATGGTCCAGGATCAGCAGTGCCTCCAGAGAAGGCAGTGAGCCTAGAGGACACTGATGACCCCGATAGATACAGGACAGATTTCTACACTCAGTGTAGGGGAGCGAGGCACCCCCACCCACACCCGTGCATCTGGAGCTTTGGCAGGCCGGCCTGGGACTGAGCAGGAATGGCAAGTGAGCGGTGCCCACACGGCTCCCTTGGGGCAGACACGGCGCCTCAGCCCCAACCCACCTTCTGCCGACACCAAACCCTGCTCCCTCCTTAGCCCTATAATTCCTGTTCACAAACACTGTTCCCATAGGGTTCCTGGAAGGATGGGCTGTTATCGTCAGCAAACAGAGGCAAAGTGAGGTGATTAGATTGGCACTGGGCTGAAGGAGAGAGAGAAAGGGGAGAAATGCAAGATGATGGGCATCAAGCCACGTGAGACACAGCACCAGTGCATGGGCCATCCCCCGTACCCCCACCCCCAGTCAGGGCAAGTGGAAAATTCTCAGCAGCAGGAGAGTTTAGCTTCTGCAACCACCACTTCTCCACTTGGAACCCCCATTCCCACCCCCACACACACACATACACACAGGGTTAGGATGTTCCTCCTAACTGTGACTTAACTCCCATTGAATTTTAGCCCCACTCTTAGCCCTAACACTGAGGTCACAAACTGCTTGACCACAGGCTTCCGGGCATTTTTTGCTTGGCCTGCATTTTTAAATTAAATTAGTTGTGAACAGTTAAAAATCATATTTCCATCAGACGACATGGCCACACTGGTCATTCATGAGTGCATGACAACACGCACCTGGAGGGCCCTGACCTCCCCCTTTGCGTGGCCCCACCTGTCCAGCCTCATGTGCCTGGTCCACACAGATGAGTGAGTGGGCAACCTTTGCGTCAGTGCCCAAAGGCCACTGGCCATGAAGAATTAAGATGTGGCCTTCTGCAGGACCCCTCCTTCCCAGAACCCAGATATTCAGACCTTCTGCACCTGCTCACTCTTAACCATGGCCTGACCTGCTCCCCTCGTGCTTCCTGTTTCCTTTCAGCTTTCCTCCCTAACACCCCTTTCCCAGTTCTGAGAGTTGACCCCAGCTCCAGGCTCCTCTCTTCCCCACCTCGTGTCCCCTGCCTGTTCACCCTGCAGTACCCACCCAGCTGAGGCTCCCCCTGAGCCAGGCCACGCCCAGCAGGACCAGCAGCAGAGCAGAGACAGTGGCTGGCTTCATGTTCCTGTGCCTGTGGAGGCCCCAGCCCTTGGCTTCAGCTTTTATTCCAGGGAGGACTGCCCACCCTACTCCTTTTCTAGTGACTCACTGGCTTCTCTCTCCTACCCCACCCCCACTTAGTGTTGCAGAAAGGGAGGAGAGTGGGAAGGGAGGGAGGTGGCCTCCCTCAGCAGGGAAGGTAAGCAACAGGGACTGAATGCAAGCCATTGCCAAGAGCCCAGATCCCATGTCCCCAGATTTGGGCTTCCTGATCCCAAAACGAGAGGTTCTGCCACCCTTACCTCAATAATGGCTTTCCAGTTCAGGAAAGGGGTGTTGTGTTTGAAATCCTAGAGGGAGGAGAAGACAGGAGTGGGCCTCAGAGCAGGGAGTGTGGCAGCTTGTTGGAAAGTTTCAAGCTCCTGTGCAAGAACGGGTTTTGGTGCCTGGGTGTGGTTTGGGGTTAGATGAAGATAAGCATACCGGAGGTTGAGGGTGTTAGCACTTCTGATGGTATTCGGGTGAGATTACCCATCTCAAAAATGAAAAGAGGGCGAATTTTGTGACAGGTGGGCTGGAGCTTGAGGAGGTGGGGAGAGGGACAGATGACCAGATCCCCAGTCCTCTGAAAAGTGAGAGTTCTCCTACCTCCCAGAGTCGGCTGAAGTAGAGCAGGGCGCGTGTGCTGGGGCGTGGGACTTGGCCCTGTAGAGGAAAGGTTGGGTGCAGGTGAGCAGGAAGCACGGCCCCTTGCTCACCTACACCCCTATTCCTGATACCACCGTCGCTCAGCCTTCAGAATGTAATTGTGCCTAAGGTTTGAGGGGAAGCTGGGTGTCTTTTAGGGACACCAGAAAACTGCTTTTGGAAGCAGAGGGAGAGCGATTAGATCTCTGGAGCCGCTAACCAGCTCCCCTCACCCCCACACACACCACACTCTTCACTCTCCCTGCTTCTCCAGCCTCTGGCAGAACCTCACTGCAGCCAAACCTTGAGGACCGGGACCTGCCCCCAGAGCTTCCCGCCTTCTTACCTGCCCTTCCACCCCCAGCCCATTTGCCGAAGCTATGGGGCTGCGGTTGACCCTTCCAAACCCCCTGGAACAACAATGGAGACGTAAGAAAGGAGCAGAGACCAGGAGTGTGAGGCAGCTACGGTTTATTTCAAGGGTAAGGGTTGAGATTAGTGGTGGGGTAGTGGGGTTTTAAGAAGGGGTGGGGGGTTCCCATCCATCTGGTAGCACCTTGTCTGGAGGTCATGGGGTACGAAAGCTCCTCTGGTCCTGGGCAAAGAAATAAGTTCTAAGAGGGAGCTCAAGGAATAAGAATTCAGGGCCTAATTGGCCAATCAGGGGTGGATTAGGCCTCTGCTCCTGAAATCCGCGTGGATCTTTTTGCCCATGGCTGTCATCCAGCCAAATCCAGATATTCCAGTTTGGGATGAAACACCTCATACTTGCCAAGAACTGTTACGTATAGTCTCCCTGTTGTCGCTGCTCACTCTGGCCCCAGTGCTCAGCTCCCTCCCTGTGAAGGCGATGGGCCTTCTGTTCTCCTCTCTGCCTGTCTCTGGCCTGCCCCTCTTCCTAGATCGGCTCCTGGGGGAGCTGCCCCAAATGGATCCTGCCTAACTGTGAGCGCTCCCTTTACTGCCCACCCCCAGATGTGCAAGAATGTTCACTGCCTTCCTGGCCCCCAGGAAGTATCAGTCTGTGCCTCTGACCCTAAGTTCCTCGTGCTCTGGGGCCTCATCTACCCCAGGTCCATGGTAAAGAGCCTCCCGCCTACCAGAGACCATTCTCTCTAAAACAGAAACAGTCGGGGCACCTGGGTGGCTCAGTCAGTTAAACATCTGCCTTCCGCTCGGGTCATGATCTCAGGGACCCAGGATTAAGCCCCGCATGGGCTCCCTGCTCAGCGGGAAGCCTACTCTCCCTCTGCCTGACGCTCCCCCTGCTTGTGTGCTCTCTCTGACAAATAAATAAATATAATCTTTAAAAAAAATTAATAAAGCAGAAACAGTCCATTTGGCTCCTTTAGTTCATCCAAACCTGCACCACGCTGCGCCTGGGAACCTGCCTCCCACATCTTTCACTCTCCCACCTTCTTCCCCGAGTTGCAGACTTGGCCTTGCCTGAGGGTAGGGCTTTCTCTTCACCTCCCTGTCTACCACCACCTTGTCTCCCCCACAAGTTTTAGAGGGCAGGGAGCCTTATCTTTCTTCTTTTACGGTAAGGGTCCGAAGCCCAGCTGCTGGGGTGGCTGTGCCGGGCAGCAGCCTGTGGCACCTGGAGAGAAGCAGCCTCTTGTCTGTCAGAGGAGCTCGAGCTCGAGGAAAGAGGGCCCCCCATTGCCTCATTTTTCAAGAGAAGCCAGAATTCCGAGTGTTTTATAAACCTCTCAGTTTTTAAACTTTGGCAACTAATTCATAGTGTCTTTAAAATTTAAAAAAAAAAAACAATGGATCAAACAAAGCACATCAGTGGGCCGTCAATTGCAACTTCTGCCTTTGGTGTTTGTTCCTGCTGTTGGTCTGCCTTTGCTCTGGAGGCGCGTCTGCTATTCAGGTGTCAAATCAGCCTGGCCAGGTTCCCCTGAACATGGGAGGGGTGGGCAGGGGGGGAGGGAGAGAGGGGTTCTGGGCCCCAAGTGCCTCCTAAACTTATGCACACCCAGGGCCCAGAATGCCTGGCACGCGGCAGGCACTGGGCACATAATTGCTTCCTTTCCCTTCTCTCTCAGCGTCAGTCCTCCTGGGGGCCTTTAGCTCCTCCTGACTGCTCAGTCCGCCCCCTACCCTGCCTCTGCTACCTCTCTGGTTTCCTGAGGACTAGGCCTCCTCACTCTCCCCTTAATCTTCCAGGTCTCGTTGGAGAAACTGAGGTTCACGCCTGCTCAGTCTGCACACTGAGACATGAAAGAGGCCCATTCCTTCCTCATCCTGGACTCCCAGCTGTTTCCAAACCACCCCCTCTTCTCAGCTCTGCCTCCTTCCTCTTTGTTTTTGTCCTTTTTTTAAGCACTGGACAAAACACCCTTCTAGTGCCATCATCGTTTTCCCCAGCTCCCCACTCGGGGGGTTAGCAGTTAGCTTTCTTCTGTTTCCCTCTCCCACAGAGATCGAATGGTACAGCCTTCCAGCCCTTACCTTGTTTATGGCATCCCAGTTAATGAAACCCAGCTTGGATTTAAAATTCTGCAGAGATTAAAAAAAAAAAAGATGGAAAATGGCAAATTGAGTTGTGACGTAATGTAATGTTGGCTCAGGGCCTCCAGGCAAGAGGTCAAGGGCCATCTGATGTTCGGTCCTTCTGGAAAGAGGACTTCAGCCTAAAGGGCAGAGGGACAGAGCTTTGCTTTTCCAAAGAGTGAGCAGAGAGATCTTGCATGAACTCACCTTCCAGAAAGTGTCAAAGTTGAAGAGCCCAGGAGACGTCTGAGAGTTCTAAGGAACCGAAAAGAAAGGGGATGAGAGTAGGAACCCACCCTGTGAGCAAAAGGCAAGGGCAGAAGCTCTGGGGGTCAGGAGGGGAGGCAGGGATTGCTTGACACCATGGTCCCGGCCAAAGGTGGGGCAATGCCTCCACTCACCAAGGTATTGATCCCACTGACAACATCACCTCTTACTGGACCCTTGCCTCTGGGTAGGAAGGAGGGACTACTGTTCAAGCCCTGTGCCTCCTGTCATGCATACCACCTATCAGCCTGGCTCCTGGCCCACCATCTCTGCCTTTGCTCAAGCTCTGTGTACTCTGTGTAAAGCCACCTCCTCTCCTTTTTCACATAGCAGCTAGGAAACCCCACCTTCTTGGAATGATTTGCCACTTATTCCTAGAATAACCCTGCCCAGTCCCTTGAATCATATTCCTATTCTGCCTCCCCCAGAGCCTGTCCCCAAAACACTGCTGGGAGCTAATGTGTAATCAGCCCCACCATCCGCCTAGCACAGTGCCTTATCCGGCCACATTTCCTGTGTGGAGACATCTCCCCTTGACGGATGAGGGAAGCAAACTCAGAGCTGTCCAGCAGCGTGCCTCATGATCTGTCTCCTTGTCAGACTCCAGTGTCCGGATCCTGAACCACCTTGCTCTGGTTATGATGCAGAAAGCTCTGCAGTAACTGTGGGGTTGAGCAAGGTAGGTTTTGCCGTTCCCATTTTACCCAAGAGGAGGCCCAGACTCAGAGAGGTCAACTGCCCTGCCTGAAGATGCACAGATGACAGGTGAGACAGCTGTCCTCTGAACCCCCATCTTCTAACTCAGAGGTCACTGCTTTCCACTTCTCAACACTTCTTAAGTATGGTTTCCAAAAATAGCCCCTTGACCATTCTCCTGTTACTTACGGCTATGTTTCCCCTCACAGTGATAATACACAGTGATGATCACAGTTTGAAGAAGGGAGAGAATGGATGAACCAAGGAGACAGGGATTCCAGACCCTTGTCTGGTCTCCTGGTGGTCACTCACCACAGAGAGCAACTTGCAAGAAGATACTGATGTTTCTGTTTCTTTTCCCCATCCCTTAGCATTCTGTCCCCACACTCCACCACCCCTTCTCCTAAAGCCATCCCTGCTTACCTGATAATTGTCTTGGGGGCCCCCAACCAGGCGACTGCCCTCTTTGCTTATTTCCTGCGGAGAGAGAAAATGGAGAAGAGTCACTGAGGAAGCAGGGAACATGCAGGATGAGAGAGTAGGATAGTAGGATGTGGGCCAGGGACTCCTGAATCAGGGGACTGAGGCACAAACACAGCAGATTTCCCAGAGCCCCAAGAGAGGCTCTTCTCCCTGGCAAATCTTGTTTCAACTTCCTGTGGATTGGGTTATTGCTCACTTACAATACTTATTGGCAACATAACCATCTCTTTATATTCACTTCTGCAAACTTCCCAAAATCCAACAGGAAGGGCCTTTGCCACAAAAGTATCTGAATTGTCCCCTGGTTTTGAGGCAGAAGCCAGCCAGACTGTTGGACTAAACTGATTCAGACTGCAGGACACAGTCTGGGCGGATGTGTTGCATTGGTCAGAAAGGGGACGCTGGCTGGAGAGTCAGCAGGAGCCTAGGTGGCACAGAAGTCATCTGGTTCCTCTCCTCCTAAGTTAGAGGGAGGCGCCTCTTGAGTCCCACTTTCCCGGGACTGAGATGAATTCCCCGAGGTAAGATCAAGACCAGCCTGCGGTGCGGGACTATCTGCACTGTTAGCATTGCTACTGCAAAGTTGACCTCCATCCCATCTCCCGCCACCAGTCTCTACTCTCAAGGCCGGTCATCTCCTTACCCTGATGTCACCATAGCCACCAGAGCCTCCCTGTCCTCCTCCAAAGCCCTGAGGGATGAGACAATGCAACAGAGATCATTGTTTTAGATCTTAGGTCCGTCCCTGCACCTTTATGTACTGATTTAATACAGTTCCTCTAAAAATCCTCATGGAATTCTTTTTTGGAACTGGTCAAAATAATCTTGGAATTCGTCTGGAAGAATAAATGTTTAAGAATAGGTGAGAGGGCGCCTGGGTGGCTCAGTCGTTAAGCGTCTGCCTTCGGCTCAGGTCATGATCCCAGGGTCCTGGGATCGAGTCCCACATCGGGCTCCCTGCTCGGCGGGAAGCCTGCTTCTCCCTCTCCCACTCGCCCTGCTTGTGTTCCTGCTCTCGCAATCTCTCTCTCTCTGTCAAATAAATAAAAAAAATCTTTAAAAAAAAAAAAAGAATAGGTGAGAAAACACTGGAAAAGACAGGCAACAAAGGAGGACTTGTACTGGCAAATATTAATGTACCATAAAGAAAGCAGCATCACAGAACAGATGAGTCAGTTTAACCAAATAGAACTCCCAGAAGCTTTCCCAAAATATGAAGGTATTTACAAGTGACGTTGTACATCAGTGGTGTAAATAATTCAATGCGTGTGGCTGGGAACACCAGTTAAATATCTAGGGGGGTGCAGGGGGCACTTATACTTTGCCGGTGCCTCCCTCCTGTTTTTATCTGGTTTTCCCTTCATTAGAGAGCACATAGCTCTGATCCAAAGTGTGGCGCAAGTCTAGCTGAACTGAGGAATGGGACTAGATTGTATACAGCAAAGTAAAGCCCAGATATATTAAAGAGTTAAATAGAAAAAATGAAAGTATAGATGTATTAGTAGTTCTAGAAGAAAATATAGGCCTTTTTCTTTTCAAGAGCAGAAACCGTAGAAGAAGAGACTGGTATATTTGACTACATATTTAAGACTTTGATACACAAAACACTAAAAAAGAGTTACAAGCTGGGAGCTTTCCTAACACCTGTCTACCCATAGAGGTTAGTATCCTTAATATCCAAGGAGCCTAATATTCAGAGAGCCTTCTCCCCATCGGCTGCGTGCACACCAGCGGACATCGGCCTTGCCCAGAACCTGGTAGAAACCAAAATCTCAGCCCCACCCCAGGCCTGCTGACTCAGAACCTGCATTTTCACAAGACCTCTAGGTGATTCATGGGGACCTTAGCATAACACTTCCTCTTGTCAGTGCTGCAGGTGCTGACAGGAAGCCCAGATTTCCAGAATGACTAGGAGAGAAGTGTACCCATTCCAAACCCAGTTTCCAAATGCTATCAAAGAGGTCACGGTATTCTGTTCACTGGCCGGGTGGGTGTAGGTCGTTTGAAGTGATTGTTTCTAAAAAGGACTGGTTTCTATGTAATTTTTCACAGCCCCATCCACGGTATAAAGTGAGGCACATCACATAAGGATTTGCAATTATTACTTTGGAGATTGTTAATATTTGTAGGAGTATGTGTTTGGTTTCTTCCCCATGGAAGGGGCTGGGATGGAGGTTAGCCTTAGGAGTGGTGCCAAGCAGGAGTGGGCACAGTCCCAAGTTTGGCTCTCACCTGACCCCCAGATCCTCCAGATATGCGGACTTCATTCCCTGGGCTGTCACACTGTGAGAGAGACAGAGACAGCTTTCCCTCTGTTGCCACCGAGAGACACCAATCCCAGCCCCCACACTGCTAGCCCACAGCCGCCCCACCTCAGCCCATTCTCAGCTCTGGCCGGTGCTCTCCCAGCTCCCCCATCATCCGAGGGGCCTTAGCACCCCTTATTTCCCCTCCCCTTCAGGGAAAGGAGGCCGATCTGTGAAAGTGTATGCTCAGCAGACACTCACCCCGGGTTTATTTCCGCCGCCACTTCCGCCGCCACTGCTACCCGAGGAAGAGCCGGTATTGTGTCCCTACGAGGGGAAGCAAGAGTCCACACAGCAACTTTTTTTATTATTATTAAAGATTTTATTTATTTATTTGATAGATAGCACAAGTAGGCAGAGAGGCAGGCAGAGGGAGAGGGAGAAGCAGGCTCTCTGCTGAGCAGGGAGTCGGGCGTGGGGCTCAATCCCAGGACCCCAGGATCATGACCTGAGCCGAAGGCAGCCGCTTAACAGACTGAGCCACCCAGGCGCCCCTCCACACAGCGTCCTAAAGGGACTCAGCGGGAACCCAGATAGTTGCCAGGGTGTTAGGATTTGTTTACTCCCTTCTGTCCAACCTCCATCTCTTCCCATCTGGAGCCAGCTGGCCACGGAGGAAGTTATTCAGAGCACAAGGGACAGGTGTGGCCAAGTGTATTTGGAAATGTGGGACAGTTTGGGGATTCTGAGCTGCTGTCCTCTCCCCCCATCACATGCCTGAAGTGAAAAAGCCTCTGGAGCCTAACATCTTAGAGCCTTGACCCTGGCACCTAGGGGCTCATTCGGTCCGCCCCCTGCCTCTCCTCACCCCTCCCTCTCCTGGGACCTAGAAAGAGGAAGAAGGGACCCCGAGAGTCCTTACCTGGGAGCTTGAGTAGTTGCTTTGATCAAAATTCCTAGAATTTTCTAAGGGACGGTCCTAGATTGGGAGGGAAAGCAGGTAGTATGAGGAGCAGTAAATTAAAGCAGCTTACGTGACCTGGCTTGTTCTCGTTACTTCCCTCTTCTTGCCTCAGACCTTTCCCAGATACCCAAGGAAGCCAACTGTGCTCCCACTTTGTGGGGCCCCCTCTGTGGGAGAGCCACCCTCTGTGGCTGCCAGGCCGTGGTCCCCTCCCGGCCCCCTCAGCCCTTCTAGAGGGGCCTCATGTGCCCTGTATTTATCGACGTCACCTACACCACATCTCTGTACGTGTCCTTGTCTCTGTGTGTGCGACACGCCTGCCCCCATTCTCTTGGGAGCCTCCCAAGCCGGTGCCCGGTTTCCTGTGTCCAGCTGTCTTCCCCCCTCTGCCACCCCCCTCTCTAGTCACATCTGCCCTGCGGCCACGGGAGTCAGTCAGACAGGAGGCAGAGCGTCCCCACCGCGTGCGGTGGAGCGGAAGGGAGTCGAGCGGGCCGTCGCAGGCCAGGCACCTGTGCCGAGGCGTCCCCGGCTGTGTCGGGAGCCCTGCCTGGCGGGGCCGGGCAGGTGGGGGGCAGGAGCTGAGGAGCCCCAGGATGGCGAGCAGGGGAGCAGAACTCACCCAGCTGGACCCGTAACTGCTGCCACCTCTGCCACCACCTCCGCCGCTGCCTCCCTAAGGGGCAGGAAGAGACCAGAGGGAGAACATCAGGAGTGTGGGCTTCCCTCCCTCGCCTCCCTCTCTGGCTCCAGCGTATTTCCCGTGCGCCGTTGGAGGGAGCCGACATTCTGTCTACTCCCCGGGCAAAACGCCTCTGATTGCCTGTCCCCTTACCCCCGAGCTGCTGGAGCTTCCGCCTGAGCCGGATGGCGGGGGGTTGGTGCACTGTGGAGGAAAGTTTCCAGGGACGGGTGAGTTCCCAGGCTTGGGTCAAAGCCATCACCACAGGCCAGGCTCTCCTGCTTCCTGTGGCTTGGCCTTCTTTCCCCACGTGCCCGTCCCCCTTCCCTCCCCTCTTCCTGGCCTCATCATCTGGCCCATCTCTTCCCTGTCCAGTCTGCCTTGTCCCTCAACCCCCCATCCTTCTTTCTTTCCTCTTCATCTCTCCTACTTTCTGTCACATGCACCCGGACACCCTCTTCTTCCCGACTCTTCCCCTTACCTCTGTGTGTGAGTTGCTGCCTCTCACGGAGCCGTAACCGGGTTGGACCACAGTCCCCTGCAGAGAGGAGGAGGCTGAGTGTGGGTACGGACAAAAAGATGAGGGCGGCGTGGAGAGCGTGGGCTTGAAGGGCAGGAGGTTGCAAGCCTCAGGGCTGGGGTGGTTACTGTACCCGAGCGTTGGTGGCCGAGCTGAAAGACCCTCTATTGCTTTCTTGGCCCCAGGGGCCTCCCTGAGAGTGGGCTCCAAAGCTTCCATCTGAATCTCGGGGGTATCCCTGGCCCTCCAGGATTACCCTGGCCGTGGCCTCCAGAGCCACCCTGGGAGCCAAAGATGCCATGGCCTCCAGATGGAGGCTGGCCATTGGTTCCCTGCAAGGGCAACACACCTGCACTGAGTGTGTGTGCCTTACCCCCTCTCTCATGGGGGGTGGGGGGTGCGGCACAGCAGGACATAGGCAGAGGCAGGTAGAAGGAGACCCCAGCGTGGTAGAAGGATGCATCATCACATGGGGGGAAACCACCCCAGACAGCCACAAATAGGAGACCCAGTCATCCTTCCAACTGATTCCCAAGATTCTCAACCCAACTGCCCACAGTGTCCCATTTCCACACCCAGCTGCCAGCTACTCACCCAAGCACTGCTGCTGCCTGGCATCCCCTGCCAGGAGCTGTGGACAGCATCTCCTCCATGTCGAATGATGTTCTCAACCGGTCTGCCAGCCTCACCCGCAGTGTTTCCAAGGGCACGGGCTGCTTCCCCCATGTCGTGGCCCATGACCTCCCTGGTTGCGGAGCCAGCTGCCTGTCCAGCCCCTTGGCCAACAGCCTCTTCGACTCCATGGCTAATGGCGTCTCCCACCCCCTGTCCAATGGCGTCTCGCACCCCATGTCCCACGGCCTCCCCAGCACCTGCTCCAGCGCTCTCCCCTCCTCTCAGCAGTGGGCCAGCCTCCCCACTGCCCAGGCACAGGGCCAGCAGGAGGCAGGCCAGGGAGCCCTGTGACTTCATCTCTGCCTTGCTCCTCTTCCTCCCGTCTTCTTCCCACCCGAGTTTTCTTCTCTTTGCCCTTCCTCCCCCTCCGTGTGTCTGTGTGTGCCCTCCTCTGTGCGCTTCCTCCTGACTTACTCTCCCGTCCCTCTAAGTCCGCAGCCTTCTCTCTCCTTTCCCAGGCTCCCCTGCCTTCCCAGAGTCTCCTCCCTGCTGCTACTCCTTATACCGTGGCCTGGGAGAAGGTGACAGGGCTGGGTAGCCCAGAGTCCCTCCCTCGTGACTCAGGGCCAGCCACCGATAGGGTAATGAGCTGTAATTGTGAGTCTGAGAGTCTGTGTTGAAACAGAGAGGGAGCCCAAGGATCAGGGAGGGAGGACGAAATGGGATAAGGCAGGTGCAAAAGTGTTCCAATTTCCCAACCCCAGGAATTTGGGGTGCAGGGTGGGGATGGGGACATCTGAGGAGATGGTTGGTGTCTCGTAGAGGTGATGGGGTGGAGGGTCTCAGGAGAAAGGAACCACAGGCGGGACCCAACCAGGAGGCAAACGTAGGGAGCCCAGTGGGGCAGGACCCACCCGAGGTGTAAGCCAGCCTGGCTCAGGGGCACCGGGATGAGAGGCAGCTGCCCTTTCTTGGCCTTGCTCTCTCAGCTTTGGTGGCCTTTTTCTCTCCCATCTCTCTTCCTTCCCATACTGCCACCTAAAGGTGACTGTCCTCACACTCTTCCATACCTTGCAGCCCACAGAGAGTCTGGGAGCTGTGAGACTGCCTTCCGTGGGGACCCCAGGTACCAAGGAAGGAAGTGGCCAGCCTGAGAGGGGTCATCAGGGCGTCTCAGCACCGGGGCTGCTCTTGGCCGAGAAAGCTGGGTGTGGAGCAGGGAGCTGGGCAGGCCAGCCACCCCCAGGGGATGAGTGGGAGGGAGCAGCTGACCCAGGCACCCACCCTGTTTACCTGGCCCACAGGGGCACGTGTGTGAGCTCAGAGCCTCCTGAGAGGACTGGTACTGCTGCTCGCCCCACCCACCCCCCAGTCTCCCCAGGGCCTAGCGGCACCAGCAAGGGAGGAGGGGTCAGCGCGAGCCCCCTACCCCACCCCCTTCCAGGGCCCTATGTCAGCAGCATGGCCCTCTCCTCGTCCCAGCTCAGGACACAGGGCTCAGGCATCTTCCCCATCTCACCCCTGTCCAGCACCTGGCTGCTTCTCTGCTCCCAGGGCCCCTGGGCCTCCCACCTGTCGCTGACCTTGTATCACTGAAACTCATCACCAAGTTAGGAGGGGCCAATATCCATCTGCCTTTCCCAATGTCTCTCAGTCAGTCTCTCTCCACCCCAGCACCCGCACCCCAACTTGTAACATCCAACACCTCTCACCGCGTAAACACAATCCCGGTCTGTGCTGGGCACCTCCTACCTCCCTGTTATTCCACCTCTCTTTAATGACAGTGATAATGGTGCTAGTGGTAACCATCATCGTAATCGTCCATGCAGCTCCAGTCTATCCACAGCTCTGTGTGCCCAGCGCCGGACTAAGCGCTTTAAGGCTCACACAGCCCTGGCAGATAGTCTTAGTATGACCCCGTTTAGAGACAGAGAATCTGGGGCTCAGAGGGGAATGGTGGTGTGTGGTAGAGCCAAAGCCAAGCCCAGGCCTGCTCCACTCCGAAACCCTGCTCCCAGCACGTTCTTTCGTCATCTGTCTCAGGCCTCCCCCTGCTTGTCAAAACCTTCACTCTTCTCTGGATTGAATTGGTGGTGGTTTTGCCCTGGGGCCTTATGAAGGGCAGGGGCAGGGGCAGGGGACAGGAGTAAATCTGAGGCCTCTGGATTGCTGATGGACACCTCGGCCCGAGCCGGCTGCTTCCACGTCCAAGGGCAGGACCATGGCGCTGGAGGTAGAGTGCTTCCTGCCTCAGAGACTCCTTCCCACACTTCCCTCATGGGATACCACCTTCACCGTGGTATGTATCTGCCCCCTGACCCAGCTCTGTTACTAGTATTTTTCTTTAAGCCAGCTTACTTTCTTAAGCATGTTTTATGTTGCTACTGTAAGTGGAGAGCCAGGATCACTTGCCCATAAAGAGAAAGTACCAGAAAACATAGAAGCCCACAACGCTATTACATGATAGCTGGCTGCGGGTCCTGTGTTAAAAAAGGAGATTGGCAAGTATGAGGGAGGTAGTCAAGGCACAGGAGCACAGAAGTTGAGTCTTCCTCTCTAACATAATCAGAAAGTTTCAAAGAAAATTGAGAAAAGGACCCGGCTCTCACTGTGTGATTCAGACTTATTCAAAGCCATGTTCCTGAACCAGCTGGATTCTCCCATGCACTCCCATGCTCTGCCTTCTGGAGAAAACTACCCTCAGGCATCTCTGGACCTGAGAGGTCACCTCACGTGGTCTGCAGGCATATTTATGAAATACCTGTTGTGAAGCAAATAGAAGGCTGAGTGCTTCCACATGCGTGATCTCATTTAATCCTTATGACAACCTCGGGGCGGGGGTGGGGGGGAGGGTAGACATTCCCATTTTACAGGTGAGGTAACTGAGGCCCAGGGCTGGTAAACACATACATAATAGCGTGTTTAAAAGAGATGGTGGTAAAATGGTGCTGTCCGAATATGACCCAGGTCTGTCTGACTCCAAACAGCTTTTTCTCCTACATCCATGCCTCCTTTGTTCTTGTACCTAATGGTGTCCACAAGTCCGACCTGCCTGACCTCATGTCCTCTGATTTCAGCTTTTCCAAGTCACTATTTCATTCATTCCGTAAGTATTTATTGAGTACCTATTGTGTGTCACACCTGTTCCAGGCACGGGGGATACAGTGTGGAAGAAGACCATCTAAATCTCTCTCCTTAGGGAGCTCATATTCATTGTGAGGATGTTGGACAATAAATGTATCAGGTGGTGAGCACTAATGAAGAAAAATACAGGGAGGTGAGGGACTAGAGAAGACAGAGTATTTTAAATCGGGTAACCAGGAAAGCCTCTTCGAGATGTGACCTATGAACTGACACCCAAAGGAAGTGAGAGAGTGAGCCATGAGGATGTCTGGGGATAGAGTATCCCAAGTGGAGGGACAGCAGTGCAAAGGCCCTGGGGTAGGAACCTACTTACTCTATTTGAGGACCACTTGTGACTGGAGCAGGGGGGGAAATGGGAAGAGTTGAAGTCAAAGAGAAACCGGCCCAGGCAGGGGGACTTGGGGCCATTGTGAGGATTCTGATTCTTATTCTGAATGAAGTAGAACCAGGGGAAGGTTTTGACTGAGGAGGGCTATGGTCTGACTCAGTGTTAACAGGGTCCCTCTGAGGAATAGGCTGGGGGGCAGGGGGCAGGAGGTGGGTACAGAGACCAGGGAGGAGGCTTCGGAGTAGGGGGGACAGAGGCTGGACTCAAGTGGAGAGAGGAGATGGGGCTTTGGATCTGGGTGGTGTCTCTGCTCCCCTCGGTGGTATCCTGAGCCTCCAGCTGGCATCTGCTGATCCACCTGTGCGCAGTACCTATCCTGCCGCCGAGCTTCAAATCCTGACTCCTCCCCTTACTAGCTGTGATCTTAACCCACCTGTGCAGTGGTTTCCTTGTCTGTCAGAGGCAGGAATGCGAGGGTGAAGTGAGGGAATCCTGGCGGGGTGCTCAGAACAATGCCTGGCATGCTCCTGTGCACCGACTATGTGTTCTTGCTAGTGGTGGGCACGTTGATGTTGGAGTATTTTCTTGGCAGTTTAATTGTGAGACACACACAGGCATGCATGCACCTCCTGAAGGCAGAAACTTAATTTTAAAGAGGACTTATTTTGAAGTTGCTCCCTCCCCCTCCCCGAAGGTCCCAGGGAGGCCGCCACCTCAGCCACCAGCAGAGACCAGCAGCAGGGAAGTGCTCGTGACTAGGAGGAGCCGGGCCACTCCCTAGCTGGGCGGCCTCAGTCTGGGAGGGCGACTGTCATGGTGCCTGCCTCACGGGGAGCTCGAGAGGATGGAATGAATCATGTCCGTAAGTGCTCAGCACAGACGTAGTCAGCACCCAATAAAAGAGAGCCTCCCCTCTGTTAGCTGCCAGCCATGTGTGCCTGGCCTCGGCCTCTCCTCTGGAACATGTTAGTCTAGGGGGAAAATGGACATTAAATGAGTAAATATATAATTACACATTGTCATAAGCACTGTGAAGAAAAAGATCAGTGTGCCAGGCCAGAGAATAGGAAAGGCGGCCCTTTGTGTGGGTGGTGTGGTCAAGACAGCCCACACCTGCAGGGTAAGGAGCCACCAGCACAGGGGGAAAGAGGGACACGGAGAATATTCCTAGCAGAGGGAGGGGCACATCAGACCCCGAGGCAGAAGTGAGCTGTGCCTCGTTTACCCTTGAAAACCGGCTAAGTTCTTTTCCAGGAGCCTCCCAAGATTGCACACACACACATAGGATTATCCCATATCACTTTGACACTTTCAGGACCCCCATCCAAGTAAACCCAGCAAGAAAATGTGCGTACAAATAAAACTGGTGAAAGCTTTTACTTCGGGAAAGAGAGATTGCCTAGAATGTGCCCTTTCCAGAAGGGACGACTCCAGTTTGTATGAAATGAGCTCCAGCACAGAGTAGACCCTCAATAAATGTGTGATGTGAATGAATGCTTCTTGTTTATTAAAATGCGGGAAAGGGACAATTGCCATTTAACGTATTGATGCGTGGCTAGATGGGTAGATATGTGACAGATGGACGTGTGATAAAGCAAGGAGAGTAAAATGTTAATGGTAGACTGTAAGGGGTGGCTACGCAGGTATTCACTATAAAACTCATCTTTATGGTGCATTTGAAATATTTTCAAATTAAAATATCGTAGGGGAAGGGAAGGACCATAGGTCATAAAAATAATGGTATTCTACAAATCAGGAAAAATGCAGTGAACAGGAAGTCTCGGGAGCGTCACCTTTATTGTGCACATGCAGCCCCCACCCCCACCCCGCCTAGTGGCATCTAGTTCTTATCGATGCATTGCTTCATATTTGTTTTCATATTCTGTTTATGCACCTTGTATACCCAGGGAAGCCTGTAAATTCCCCAAGGGCAATTTTTGGCCTCTTATTTTTGGTCCCACAATTGATGGAATTTTGGTGTTGGAAGCCGTGTTTGTAGTCCTCCCCTGCAGACAACCCCCACCCCCCACACACACACACAAACACACACGTATATAGAAGGAAATTGTGGCCCCCAGAAGGGAAGGAAGCTGCCCACAGGTACATGGTCCTACTAGGAATGCACATCTCCTGGCACACAGGCCAGTGCTTGGCAAGCCTTCTAGAGACTTTCTAGGCAACTGTGAAAGGTCAGGTTCTGGCAGTGGACAGCCAGGGCCCTGGCCCCTCTGAGCCTCCGTTTTCCTCATCCATACAATGGGGATCACAAGAGGGCTTCTGCCTTTGGGTTATGAGAGGCTTAAATGGTTTCAGCTCTTCACACAGTACTGGAAGCTAGCTAGTGCTTAGTGAACAGTCGCTGCTATCATGCATCTGAAAACCAGGCCCTCTGTCCCCATTCCTGTCCGTCATAAAGGGGCCCACCCTCCTGTCACCAGGGTGCTTTCCCCCTGGGCCTTTGGTGCTCCTCCCCGTGCAAGCACCTCCCACACGTATCTCTTCCTTTCCCCTCTGCACCATTCCCCACTGCTTGATGCCAAAAGGAAGACTGTATTTTCAGAATATGCTTTGTAGCTCAAAGTCCTTTCCCCTCCACTTCCTGACTATGTGACCTTGGTCATGTTTCTTAACCTGCAGGAGCCTCCATGAGCTTCTCTATAACAGAACCTCTTACCCAAGCAGGGGGGGGGGAGGAGGGGAGGATTCGGTGATGTCATGCGTGGAAAGCACCCAGCAGGGAGCCCAGCATTGCACAACAATTACAAGTTACCATTGTTATTCCTTTGGTGCCACACCCCCCAAATGAGGATGCTACCCCCTTGGGCTCCACCTAGGTTCCCGCCATTCTCTTCGCCCTTGCTTCTGCCCCTACTGCTGGCCTGAAGTGGCCTTCTCTGCACAGATGCTCCCCTTAGTGCCAAGCACGCACGGATTTTGCCCACTAGCGAAGCCTGGCTTGTCCCCGTGAGAGCCCTCTTACATCTGACCTGCCCGAAATCTCCAGCCCAGCCCTCCTGTGCATCAGCCCCCAGCTCCTTCCACAAAATAGCAAGGAAAGAGAAGCCTCCCCCCACCCACCCCTCCTCGGGGAGCACAGTGGACCATGATGAGAGTATAATGTGTCATATTTATTCACAAACCCCAGTAGAGCCTCCTCCCGGGACTCAGGAAATCTGCCCCCCGCCCCCAGCTCTTCCGGGTCATTTCAGCTAGTATGACAACAGGAATGTCAGTCTGCTGAGGGAGGCCAGTGCATCAGTTTAGGGAATGATGTTGGCGACGCTCTGGAAGAGAGGAGAGAGGAAATGAATGCAGGGAACACAGCCCTGAGGGGACCAAGACCTCTGCCTTCCCGTCCCCTAGGGAAATGAGGGGGATATGGGCATTAGCTTCTCAGGCCCAGGGGTTGCTTATGTTCTGCGGAATGTCTTCAGCAAAGTGGCTCCTAGATTCAGGAAGAACAGGGAGCCAGCCCTCCCAGGGAGAGGTGCCAGGACCCTGTGGAGGAGCCAAGAAGCCTTGTCTGTTTTGCCTCAGAGGGTCCCCTGGCACCCCCATAGCCCAGGAATAAACAAGGCTGTGCCTTTGGGTTCCGGGCACGGTCCACAAGGGCTGTTCCACACCCTCCTCCTTTTGCCCCAGGCTCATGCAGTGATGCACTACATGCAAAGAGAAAACTGCAAAGCTAGGACTTTGCTCTGGGCCCAGGGTAAGGACCAGGGTCCCCCAGGAGGCTTTCTACTGGGGGGTCCCGTCCGCCAGGGAAAGCCCAGAGCTGCGGGTTCCCACCCCCCAGCATACTGCTGTAAGGCAGCAGAGGGCGTCACAGTGGGTTGAGGTAGGGAGGGAATCGGAGGGAAGCCGATGAGAAGCGGTGAGCACATGGAGGGGATGGTTTCAGCAGCGTGCCTCCCTCGCTGGCCTCTTGGGGGTCTGTTTTGCCAGCTTGCGTTTGCCTCAGTGGGAATGGAAAGCAGCCAGAAGAGGAAAGCAGGGTATGAGGGGAGCAGGTGAAGAAAGGAAAGGCCAGAGCTGGGAAACAGGTTGGATGGTGTCTGCAAGGCTGAGAGTCTGTCCACAGTGAAGTTGTCCGTGGACAGGCAGTGGGAAGGGAGTGTGAGACTGTCTCCAGAGACAGAGAGCAGAAAGTTGAAACCTCCTGGGCACTCACCTTCCACAGAGCTGGAATGTTGATGAAGGGCTTGTTGACCGAGGCCTGGAATTCAAGGACAAGAGGGTTGGTCACCAGCATCCATCCCACCGCCATCGTAGGAGGGCCTTCCCTCCCCCCACTGAGTCCTTGCTGTGCCCTGGGAAACTTACTCCAGATGTTACTGTTGTGGTTGCGCCCCCTCCGTGCTGGCCGGTGGAAACGCCTGGATGAGTGCCCTGCGGACAAAGGCCAGACTGTCATTACAACCCCTCAGCCCTTGAGGATCTCCCAGGTTCCTCTTCCCCGGTGACCTACCGCCCTCTAGGGTGACTGGGGCCAGGGTGGGAGGCAGAAGCTAACCCCCTACCCCCTCATTATCCAGAAAGAAAACCCAAAGCCCATGTCGCTGTGGGAATTCTGTGAGATTGGAAGAAAAGCCTGGAAGGATGTCTGCCCCTACTGACTAGTCTTCCCCCAATTCCCTTTTATTTCAGTGAATGAAATGCCCTCAGTCAATGAGAAGGGCCTGAATGGAAACTGGAAAGGGAACCCAGAGGACCCACGCAAATCCTAGAACCATAGTTTAACCTCAGCCCGACCTCAGCTCTACCCCTTCTATACCCCCTCTGGCCTGGTCCCTAACTTCGGTTGATCCCTGTCCTCATTTTCCCCTCAGATACTCAGCCGTGCCTTTGCTGCTGCTGGGCCAGCTTTGAATCCCATAACAAACCTCCCCTTCCTGACTCCTTCCCAGTGAAGCCTGCTGTCTGACTCAGAGCCCATTCCTCTACCATGCACACTTTCTGTGGAGTCCCTTCCTCCTCACCCACCCATCCCTGGGTCCCCTGCCTGCGGCCTGTGTGGCTATCGGCTTCCAGGTCTGGGCCAGTCCTCCAGATGGTGTCCCAAAGACTCCTCATGGAGATTGGAGAGTGGGGAACTGAGGCAGGCAGGGGTCAGCCTTCTCCTATTGCCCAAGCCCCTCGTTGGTGCCTGGCCCACTGTGAATGGCACCCCTTGCCTCCCCCTGGCCTCCAGTATTTGTTGCCTCTACAGAAATGTTCCCTCTACAGAAATCCTCCTGGAGACCTCCTCCGATGGGGCAGTGTGGAGGGAAGAGAAAGAACCCTGACCTGTGATTGGCCAGACTTGCTCACTAGCCACCTGACCTTGGCAAATCCCCTTAAAACCTCACTTCTATCTCCTTATCTGAGAATCAGGGAGTCAGCATCCTCACCCTGACTACCTCAGAGGCTTGTTATAAAAATTAAACAGAATAGGGCTTATCTCCCAAAGCCATTCCTCATGCTTACTCTGATGCTCTGGGTTTTCTCAACACTCACTCTGTTTGCACTGCACAAGATCTTGACTCAGTAATCATTTCCTGTTCCCCAGGAGAGGCTTCATGTTCCTCTCTTTACACCTCCTCAACTAGGAGGGCAGCTCCCTGAAGTGCAAAGGTTCTCACTGTCTGATCTAGGGCTTTGCGGACAAGATGGTTTGATCCATCTGACCAGCTGAGCACCAGCTCCTTTGTAAGGAGATGGAGAGGAAGAAAGGGAACGTGATCATAGAGCTCCCCAAGCCTCTTTCACTGAATGAAGGCTACATGGACTACCCAAATGTCCCAAGGGCTTAACCTCTCCCTCCCCCAGCCCCTTCTCCCCATTTACCCACCCCTGTTCACCTACATTCAGCAGCTGGTTGGCCTCCTTGCCGGCTTGGTTGACCCCATTATGAACATTCTGCTGCAACCTGTCCACCTCCTTCCCAGCCTGGCCAGCAGCATGGTGGACACCTTGGCCAAGTTTCTCCGCTTCCCTTCCAGGCTGGCCAGCAGCGTGGTTGACCCCTTGGCCAAATTTCTCTGCCTCCTTCCCGGCCTGGTTGACCCCATCGTGGACCCCTTGGACCACTTTGTCTGCCTCCTTTCCAGCCTGTTCAACGGCATGGTGAACTCCCTGGCCCAAGTGCTCCACCTCCTTCCCAGCCTGGTTGACCCCAGGATGGATCCCTTGGACTATTTTGTCTCCCTCTTCCCCAGCCTTCCCTGCAGCATAATGAACATCATGGCCAAACTTCTCCACCTCCTTCCCAGCCTGGTTAACCCCGTGATGGATCCCCTGGCCAAACTTCTCCGCCTCCTTCCCAGCCTGGTTAACCCCATGATGGACCCCATGGCCGAACTTCTCTGCCTCATTCCCAGCCTGCCCAGTAGCATGGTGGATCCCCTGACCAAACTTCTCCACCTCCTTCCCAGCCTGGTTAACCCCGTGATGGACCCCCTGACCAAACTTCTCTGCTTCGTTCCCAACCTGCCCCGCAGCATGGTGGACCCCCTGGCCAAACCTCCCCGCCTCGTTTCCAGCCTGGTTAACCCCATGATGGATCCCCTGACCAAA